TACTGTATTGTATATTCGTAGTCTATATCAAGTTATGATGGTCTGGAAACGAAACAGAAGTTATTGTGTTATGTTTTTTGTTCTGAGTTTATGTTAATTTGTGCACGGTCAGAGTGATTGAGTTCATTGTATTTCTGTTTTATGAAATAACTGTCCAATATAGGGATAGCTGAGATGAAACGTGCGACCACGATGAATAATATTTAATGAAGTTGAGACAATGATGGATTTGTGCATGGTAATGAACAGTTCAACATCGAACGAAAGTCTTCTATTTTGTGGCTTTGCAGTTTGCCGGACTCCCAGACCGTGATGTAGTATTTAAAACACGAGAAGGAGTGTTTTATCATATTTAAAACGCGAGGCGCAGCCGAGCGTTTTAGATATGATAAAACGCGAGTTCGAGTGTTTTGACTAGCTTAAAATACGACTGCAAAAGAATACTAATTAGGATGAACAATTATATAATCATACTAATTAGGATGAACAATTATATAAAGAATACTAATGAAGATGAGTTTTATCAGATATAAAGTCACTCCACGTGACATATTATGGCTGACATGATTTGCCACAAGGTTTATGAATTTTTAATGAGTATTTTAAATCTTGATAGACTATAGTACTGTATACCACAGACTAAGCGCCGTACAGAAGAACAATGTTTTCCTACACATGTTCCTTGACGAGTTTACTTGCTCGTGTGTGTACGATGGTCGAGTTTTCTTCCATCAATTTTTACCACTTTATTATGTTAAACAATTTCATGATAATTTTCGTTCAAAGCTCCTTGGAACAAAAATAATTAAAATGAGCTGAAATTGTCTACGATAATACACTTCAAATTTCAAAATAAACGAGATTTAACGGCCTCTCGAAGATCAGTACGCGGTGAGATACTACGCAATTATTTGTCAAGTTTTCCTTGGCAACCCTGCATACAAACAATTTTACTTGTTAAAAAGCTAGCACGACTAGCTTTTGAACAGGGCTCCTTGTCCACTTTTGCAGTACACACGAACAAATAAAATTTGTCAAGGAAAACTTGCTCGTTTGTATGGGGGTTTCAGTGTAAACAAAGCAACACTCTACATATTCTACTTACACTATCATGGCTTGCATGGCTGCCACTTCTAGACTTGTGCTTCTTATGTTTCCTGTCCTTTCTCTTGCTGCCTTTACTTGAAACTGAAGCAGTCGTATCCACAGATGCCGAGAACAGATCATCCTTAGCAGAGTCGCTTTCATGTTTCCCACTCCCGCCCCAGTCTTCTTCATTATCACCCTCCTCATCACTATCATCCACAGCCCTCTTTGCTTTTACTCCGAGTTTTGCTGCAAGTTCGGCCGAGAAATCCATCGGAGCACCAGCCTAAACAGCAAAATTGTATGCAGGTGAGAGATGGAATTTTTAATTGTTTGCAAAATTTCATGAGGTGAAAGAAGGAATTTTTCATCTTTCACCGAATCATTCTACCGAGATCAATTTTATGAACAAATATATACCTTGTTCAAAAATAATTAAAATCCAACCAAAAAGTGCCAACAAATGTTTTATCGAAGAATGATATGATAATGGCGGTCATTTATCGTACAATATTGTATTTTTACACCCGCCGTTTTGCTTAGCAAAACTTCACCTTAATTCCATCGATCTCAGTATGAAAATTACTGTATGATTAAATTAGCTATGATTACGATACAAATAGGATTTTGAATGATTTAATTTAATGGCACGGCTGAGCGTGCAATAGTACTTGTAATATTGCATGGTGGCAAAATGGAAATTTTAATTTCATATCATATCACGTGATCATAATCAGCCAATTAAATGTCCAGAATTTAATGAGGTGTTATATAATATAGTCTGTATATGCAATGCATTCGAAACTATGCTATTACATGAATACATTGTACTTTATGGTATTAACTTTTTGTGTAATCTCCAAAATGCGGTGTGTGACAAGTGAATACGGTCAAGAAATTATACCTTTCGTGGTTGCTCTTCATCCTCTTCTTCCATACTTTCATCACTATCATCATCCTCAGTCTGTTTTGTCTTCGTTGAAGTCTCTGTACCACCTGCTGCGAACAATTCATCATCGGAGTCTGCTTGAGAACTATCCTGTAATCAATTAATTAGAACCAGGAATTAGAATTAATCAGAAGGCGTCAATGTTAACAGTTCTCTTTGCCTACAAAAAAGGTAGTTCAAAAGTTGTTAAGACTTTACACAACCGGTCCCAGTTGGGCAAATAAATTTTGTTTAAAATATATTTTATATCACATATTTAACTAAACAGCTGTGGATTGAGAGAGATACAATTAAAATCTGAAAATATAAGCAGAACGTCGACGTTTCGAGCGAAGACCCTTCCTCGGAAATCTGCTTATAATTTTCAAAACGTCGAAGTTCTGCTTATATTTTTCAGGTACAGTAGAACCCCGCTAACACGAACTCGCTTAACTCGAACTAAGGCGAAAGCTTTGATTTCTATTCAGACAACGACAATTTAATCGATATATCATATATATAAAAGAGATAAAAGGTTCAACAAGTTGCGTCCATCATTACTGATCTACAGTAGCTTGTAGGTATATACTGTTGTTTGGTATTGTACTGTTAAACACTGTGATAACTTGGGTAACAGTAGTACAAATTTTGTAAGTTCTTTAGAGTATGCATCGTAATGGCTCACAATTGTGATAAACAATAAAACGACTGGACCTTATTAATTAACATAATCAACGAAATCCAACACCGATCCCGTTAACTCGAACCCCCGCTAACTCGAACAATTTTTTGCTTCCCTTGGGAGTTGGAGTATACGGGATTCTACTGCAGTTGTATATCTCTCAATCCAAAGCGATTGTAGTTGTATATCTCTCAATCCAAATATATATATATAACTATTAATTAAATAACATATTGAAACACCTCAACCCCAAGATTGGCTCCGGATTCCCCCCTCAGGGAAAGTTGGGCAGGCCTTGAAATATCGGTCAGACAACCGTCTGACGAAATGTTCGATGACTTTGCATTTGAGTCGGACATATGTATTGTGATGTCAGAAGGATTTTGAGTTCACTTTGGCTTGGAAATATGTATATGAATGCATACACAAATTAATATCAGCACAATTTGAAAAAGTCATTCGAATCTTGGCAATGAATTTCCGAACCCCACGGTGAAAACCCCGCACTTGATTACACATTTGATTCTCCTCTTCTTGATAATACATTACTTTGATTCTCCATTTATTCTAGTCCTGAATTAGGGTACATTTTGATTTACGTTGGACAAAGTAACCTATAAGTTTCACTCAGGTCGGACAGAATATCCAAGTGGTTTCTTTTCTACGTCGGGCAATTTGACAAATAGATCGGACAATGTCCGTGACCGACGATATTTTAAGGCCTGGTGGGTTATGATAAACGTAGTTAGGAAAGTAATATCACAATTATTGTAAAAAAAGTCTACATTATGGTAAGTAGGTAATATTAGTGAGCGTAATACTGCATGTAGTTAATCATCACTGTATACCTTCCTGGCTTTCTTTTTCACCACAACATCCTTTTCGTCTTCACTTTCAGTCGCAGTTGATGATTCCTAAACAAACAATTCCAGTGTGACCACGTGTATTCAGGCCTTGCAGTCACGCGGGAATATTACGTCACGCTAAGAGATTTGGTTGAAAAAACGGTGGGCATTACGGACATCAGAGGAAACCACTGTCTGAATTCATTAGAAAACCAGACACGGTATTAAAACGCGGTGCCCTAAAAATAAAACGTCCGCCTCCAAATAAGTTATATAAATATAAACCAAGAAGGAGGTTTATAACTGATGAAAAATTCTCGCGTGTCGAAAAGTTTGATGTAATTATTTATTCAAGGTATATTAGCTAGTTATAAACCTCGGACGATCAAAGAAAACCGACACAAATGAGATATAAGTAAGAGTTAAATTCTAGTTACATTCCTCTTGTCGCCCTGAGGAAATGTCCATTTTCCCACAAATGTTCGTATTAGTATATTTGACATTTGTTGAGTTATTGCGCATACAGACAGACACACATACAAACGCGGATGAAAACATGACGACCTGGTGTAAAAAAAGATTTGTATTTACCTCTTCAGATCCTGACGGTGACCCACTGACAGTTTCGCTTTCTGACGTCTCTTCATCCCCCGTACTTTTCTCTGATTCACTCTCCATGCTGGCTTCTTTATCACTTCCTTCATCTTCATCTATATAAAAAAAAATGTACAAGGTGCGATAATTTTCGTAGTCACGTACAGGAGGAACATCAATATTATGGTCTGGTATTTCTTTGTTTTCAGCCACGGACCACGTAGGTACGCGGAACTCTTGCTATCTGCGTACTTAACTTGTTGCTGGTACCACATGACTATTTGAAGCTCAAGGTATTCAATGCCGTAATTTACAGTAGTTGATATATGTGAAACGCCCGTATTCTAAAAGCTCACTCACACTCAATGAGTGGAAGTTCAATCTGAGCTTCTCACGAGTGTCATTGCTGTTTCCGAATAGCTGGAGGGCTAGTGTCATACCTTACTATGCGACTACTCACCCTCCAGCTATTCAAAAACAGGATTGACACCAGAGAGACGCTTAGATTGAACCTCCACTCATTGAGTGTGAGTGAGCTTTTGAATACGGGCGTAAGTCTGGCATGTGTTGGCATGAAACATACAGTATACTAAACCTTATGCATAATGACGTCACAAAGCGTGATGCGCGCTCTTAGTAGTGTAGACAAACTCACAATACGAGTGTTGTTTTGCAATAAATGTATTTCCAACTAACAAACTTTTACAACAACAACATGTTATATATCATGCAAATTTGAATAAATCTAAATAACCTAAATTGTCTATTGTCCTAAATTGAATATAAACCAACTAATGTCAAAAACACTATTAATTAACGACCTATTAATGACACTCCCACTTTTTTGACATTTTTAAATGTTAAATTAAACAATAAGTTCTAGTCCAAGATTTTCAGTTCCTTTCAAATATCGTAGAACTCGTTTAGCAGCAGTTAGATGTGCTTCCGACGGTTTAGCACAAAATTTTGACAAAACTCCCACTGCATATGCAATATCTGGACGAGTGGCGACTGCAAGATAAAGTAAACTTCCGATGATGGACTGGTATTGCGTTGGATCAACTAGTTTACTGACTCCGTCTTCTTTGATTAACTTGACATTCACGTCAGCAGGCGTTGCGACCGTTTTAGCTTCAGCTTGTCCAAACTTTACGACTATTTTGTTAATGTACCGTCTCTGGTGTAGCCATAGTCGGTTATTCTGTTTATCCTGGACAACGCTGACTCCGACATAATACTGTAGCTCTCCCATATCTGTCATCTTAAACGCCATAGTCGGTTATTCTGTTTACATTGGACCACACACATCGCTATGTACTATCTGTAGCTTGTGAGATGAACGAATTTCTTCCCGAGCAAGAAATGGCTTTCGATGCATTTTTCCAGCCAAACATGCTTCGCAGAACGAAAGTTTGTCAACGTTTTCACAACAAATTCCTTTCACAATATTATTCTTAATGCAGCTATTTAGTCGCTGCTCGTGTACGTGTCCCAACCGTTGATGCCAAAGATCACTACTTTCCTGTGAAGCTAACGTAGCGTGTCCGTTTGAGACGTCTTCGCAATCCAACTTGTACAACTTGTTGGCTAATGATCCCATTCCTCGTAGTCTCCCACTGGCATCACTTATCCAGCATTTATCACCACGAAACTTCACCACGTTACCTTTCGCAACGGCAGCTCGAACGGAAAACAGGTTAGAGGTAAGCTTTGGAACATACAACACATTACACAGTACACCTCGCTTTGACTTTCTCCCAGAGAACAACATATCCATATGCACGTTACCAGATCCCAACGCTTGTACAACACGACCATCTCCCAAGGCAACGCTTTCGGGTTCCCCAAACTGTTGATAATTCACCAGAACACTTTTTTCCTTCGTCATATGACTTGAAGCTCCAGAATCGATCAACCAATGACAATCAGAAAACTTTGCATTTCCCTCGGACACTGTAAATACACAAGCACCACTTTCAGATTCACTATCAGAGTTTTGGGTCTTTCCGACTTTTGCTCCATGTCTTGATTTATGCACTGGCTTTGTATATCTCGCTTTTTCCTGAGGGCAATTTCGACGAATATGGCCAACAGTTCCACACTTAAAACACGTCCGACTTTCCTGAAAATTTTTTCTTTCGGTTTCCCATTAAGGCAGACTCATTCTTAACTGACTCGTTCTTAGGTCCTTGCTTCGATTCTTCATGCATAAGAGCTTGTTGAACGAAGTCCATTTTCACATCATCAACTCTGGCTTCTAAGGCGGTTACAAGAGTTGCATAACTTCTCGGCAAACTTCCTAATAAAGTCACAACTTGATCCTCTTCAGAGATAGGTGCACCGATAGCTGCCAATTTATCCGCGATGTCCTTCATGTGTTTCAAATGTTTCTCCATACAAGTTCCTTCTTTCATCTCCGTTCGGAAATACTTTTTCTTTAAAAACAGTTTGTTCGCTAACGTATCTCGATCAAAATGATTCTTTAGTGCATCCCACGCTTGCTTAGGATTTTCACATGAGCTAACCAAATATAGCTGAGCTGATTTAATTGCTAAAACAATTGTTGAGAACGCCCTTTGCGCTTTCGAACGAAATTGTGCCGCCGTTTCTCCCGAAGCTGACCCTGCTAGCTCTTCCGAACCGTCTACGAAACCCCACAGCCCTTTCGCCAACAGCAAATGCTTCATTTGAAACTTCCAAGTACTCCAATTGCTCCAGTCTAACTTGTCGATTGACCATTTTTCCTCCATTAGTCGTCAACAGACCAGCACGAATTATTATTACAAGCGTTATTTGTTCAGCAAACTGAAGTTCTATCGAAAAACCGGCGACGTAGGATTGTTAAACGATCCTAACAGCATGTTCTGGGCCCATAACCTGTAGACAAACTCACAATCCGAGTGTTGTTTTGCGATAAATGTATTTCTAACTAAAAAACTTTTACAACAACAACATGGGGTATGTCATGCAAATTTGAATAAATCTAAATAACTTAATTAATTGTCTATTGTCCTAAATTGAATATAAACCAACTAATGTCAAAAACACTATTAATTAACGACCTATCAATGACAAAAATTTGACAAGTATAATTGCGCAATATACTTCACTGAGTAAATCTCGTTTATTTCGAAATTCGCTTTTAAAGTGTGGTATCGACGTATCGTAGACGGCTTCAGTTGTTTTTAACCTTATTGGAAGCGGCTTTGAACAAAAATTATAGTAACTACAGTTCGCGTAAGAAACACATAATAGTTATGATAAAGATAATTGAAAGTAGGTTAAAACAATCAGATGGTGTTAAAACAAGGGCTATGGTCATGATTAGAGTTATGAATAATTTTTATGATCACACATACTTTATAATTTGCTGAAACTGTTTTGTGGGTCTTACATGAAGTATTTACCATAATTATGAAATTGTTTACGTACTCAAATAGCGCGGGCTCGTAAAACTTGTTAAGGAAAAATTAGTCGAAAAAAACTTGTTCGGTGTCTACACGAGAAACAAAACTCGTTAAGAAAATCTTGCTCGTTTGTACGGGGCATGTGTTGTCTATCAGAAAAGTGATTCAGAGTAGACATTTGATTTTAAATTAGACTGTGTGTTTTCCAGCAAGTTTGGTTAGAATCGAATGTCTAGCTTGCGGGAATATCTGTCTTCATCGTTGTCCACCATTCCATCTAGAGTCTCTTCCACTGGCATGCAATTTTAGAATAACTTCGAAGAAATATTAAATGGAAAGAGTAAATAGAAATAGTACCTGTTTTTGTCTTGAAGATGATGTTCACCTGTTTGTGTGAAGAAAACGTTAAATTGGTAAAAACATTAAAACCTTCGGTTACACGTGGCATTTTTTCTTTGGAGTTGGCAATAGAACGTGGTTGCTGGGGCAAGAGAAAAAATCGCATGTTTATGATGTTGTGCGCTGCAGCGCAATCTCACAAATGATTTTCGAGCGCGTTTCAAGTACTGTAACAAACTTGGTGTTTTCAAGGACCTTTCAAAGATGTGCACAGCTGAATCTAAAGTCCGAAGTGCGTAAAGAGAGACTATTTGTCTCAATCAATTCCATGGTTGCCCATCCCCCCCCCCGGGCGTTTGTCTGGCATTCTCAACTATACTTGTTCCCAGGGTCGGGCATTTGCTTTCTGCAGGTTAGCCCTGGGATGGGGAATTTGCTCGAGGCTAAAAAGTCGAATATTTATCGCTTGTTTCGCCATTTAGCCGTACTTTAGTACGCATGTTTACACGAGCGTGCGTATCGCAAATTAATCATGGCGGACATACACAAGACTTTTTTCTTGTCCATCCTGTTGATACATTAGGGCCATTTATACGGGACAAAATAAGACGCGACTTACATAAGACGCGACTTAAATAAGACGTGAGTTTGTCGTATAAAAGGCACAAAATTCTTATGTAAGACGCGTCTTGGATAGGACGCGACTTAAATAAGAACAGAACTTTTAGCTGTTCTTATGTGAGTCGCGTCTTAAATAAGAAATTTTGGACAAATATTCTAACTACACATGCCCGAAACTTGAAACAACGTACAATTATTAGCCTTGCATATTAAAACAAAAACAACCGTAACAACATTATAGCTATAGCAAGTAAATAAGAATAAAGCCGTAGAGAACCATTTATAGTATTTATGCGATAACTCCGCTTATTTAAGTCGCGTCTTATGAAAGTCGCGTCTTATTTTGTCTCGTATAAATGGCCCTATTGACTTACTTCTGCAGTTTAATATTACCTATATAAAGTTTTGAGACATCAATATTTTAATTAAAAACGTTTTAAAACGAAATGGCTATAGAATCAATTTTAAATACAGATATATATTATTGATACGTGATAGAGCTTGGATTCGATTTTTTGGATCAGAAATCCTCTGAAAACTTATATTTTGTCCCCCAAGGGTGGGGTATTTGCGTCAATGTAAGTCCCCAAGGGTGGGGATTTTGTTGCATTATTTGGACCCCATACTGGGGCATTTGCAACGTTTTTTCGCCAAAATGACAAAAGCCCGACAAACGCCCGGGGGGGGGGGTGTTGGGCACCCATGGAATTGATTGAGACATTATAATGTACCACCCAAACACAGCAGACTCTAAATTCAGGCTAATTTTTGGCTTCGAAATCTCAGAAATCGATCTGTCTGTTTGTCCGTCTTGGGTACATTTTACAATTTTATAATCCTGGCACAATCCAATGCGCAATTGCAAATTATAAATAAAACTACCAGACTTTACCTGTAACATTTGTGATGATAATCGTTGCTAAAACCAGTATAGTACCATCGCAATTATTAAAACAAACTACCCACATCGTTGCTTCTGCGTGCTTAACTTGCTCAATCAATGGTTGCAACTTTTGCCCAGCTCAAAATTTCGACAACCTTTGGTGTCAAGTTGCTTACAACGGAATTATATTTCAACTGATATAAGGGTAATACTTCCGCGTAAAAACATAAAAAGACTTCTTTGATCAGACTTGTACTCGTGGAAAGCACCCAAGCACATATAATGACAATATACAATTCATTCGAGTGATAATTGAGAAAACGGAATTCTATATAAGATTAGAATCTAGACTTCCTGCTCTGTGACACGTCCTTGTATTCCCTGCTTGGGGAAGGAGTCAAAGTTCATTCTTCAACCTACCTGCTACCTCCACTGATCGAACGACTTTGAAACCGTACACAGATTCGTACACCATCTGATTGTTCTCTTCATGAAAGACCCACAAAACAGTTTGAGCAAATTATAAGGTATGTGTGATCATAAAAATTAGACATAACCTTAGCTAGTTTTAACACCATATTTTACTGTGACTGTTTTAATTACAACTTACTTTTAATTACCTCAAACTATTATATGTTCCTTACACCAAGCAGTAACTACCTAAACAGCGTGTAGCCGCTATCCGGCGCATAAACTAAAATTTTATCTGCACTGCGGCAATTGTGAACTAAATTCGTTATGAACCTCGACCATGGAAACTGTATGATTTATACTGAGTGAATAAATCAATTAGTTCCCTCGGTAAAGAAAACCTCTTATTTATATCGCGTTTGAGTCGGTTCTCTTTGATCTTTTGAGGGATATAAATCAAATATATCCTCCAAATCGAGGACAACCAAATATGCAATCAAAACACCCAACTTGCATTTTAAGTCCGAGATCTCTCTTCTCCGCAGAGGCTTCTGTTGGCTATGATTACGATTAGTATTGAGATACATTTCACTACACTTTACATGGCTGGTCTTGCGCAGGCGAGAAAGGGCGAAGTCGAGAACAGGCGCGAAGAGCCAACTAAAGCCACTGCGGAGGAGAGAGGTCCGAGGTCAATATTTGAATTGTCCATCCAATTAAAATCCATCGGGATTCCAACTCAATCGTTTCGTGCGGAATATGCCCGAGTCCCGACTGCGTCCCCAAACGAGAGACATGATTTCAAAGCTGTTTGTTCTATCGAGCGAGATGCCCAAAATCTGGATAGATCGAGACAGAGTTTGCCTATCTGGAATGCTTGGGAACACTGGCGGAAACAGTGTCCCAAAGGAGAAAAGCCAGCGAAATAAATAACTGGAACGCTACTTTCTGATAAACTGCCTATTTTTTCTGACCCCCAGAAACGCGACCCGCGTGTTTATGCCTCGCGATTCCCTCGCAGGACCAGTTCATAGAGCGACCATACCTTTAATAAAAAAAAACTAAAAGTAAAATCTACCAGGAAGTTTTACCTGAATAAATGCATTAATAGAAACTTTTTTCAGCGCAACTAAAAACTTTCTTTTTGTAAATTTTAAGTCGGTTTTCAAGAATACATGTTCATGTCAGTGAACTCAATCTATTTAATACCTCGAACGATAACATTCAGTCATTTGACAGTTAAAAAGTGAAGGCTCGCGTGAACAACGCGTGAGCAGTGGCGTCAGCTCTCCACGCCATATAGTACATAAGGTGGACTTGAATTATGTGGTTTCACAACCCGCACACCCGATTACCTATATATACATGAACTTACGGTTACAGCTCTAGAGCGCTGCACCGGAATCTCAGGGCCGTAGGTTCAATTCCTACCAGAGGACCTTGTGCTGCATTTTTCGCAATCGTTCCTGGTCAGGTCTTAAAATGTATTTCAAACACTCATTAATAATTCATAAGCTTATTGACAAATCATGTCAACTATAATATGTCACGTGCAGTCGCTTTATACCTGATAAAACACTCTTGATTAGTATTCTTTATATAAAGAATACTAATAAGGCAGTATCTATTGTAGTCGTGTCCTAATTGGTATTCTTTATATAAAGAATACTAATAAGGCAGTATATCTATTGAATTTGTAGTCGTGTTTGAAGCCGTTTAATAAACTCGCAGGTCGTGTTTTATTAGGTCTAAAGCCACTCGCGCTGCGCGCTCGTGACTTTAAACCTAATAAAACACTCCTGCTCGTTTATTAAACAATACATAATCACTTGGATTACAAACCCTAACATTCTAACATATAGTACATAGTACGTCAGTTTCAGTCCCTTTATACGCCATCACCGCGCGTCCATCGCCACGCCATACGGTACGTCATTTTCGGTCCCTTATACGCCATCACCGCGCGGTCTATCATGAATCAGCGCGCGTCAAGTGGCTTTGGCATTGGCTTCACGTTTCTTCCGCATGTTATCGTTCCAGATAAAAGACGTGGAGTTCACTGGTTCATGTTGATGGATTGACCGATGTCTTGGCATGCGTGGGAAGACCGGGACTGGGACCTTAAATCTTCAACTCTGAGCGAGCAGTTTTCAAGTTTCAAGCTAAGTAGTTGAATATTGCCGCAATTTGTGAATGAATTGTTCTCGTAAGGAGATATTTACCATCTCTCTTAGAAATGGGGCTCATGCATATATGATTTCTAAACTCATTAAATGATGCACTCGTTATGCTCTGCACGCTTAGAGTTTAAGGTTTAGAGTTTAGGGCTTACAGTTTAGGGTTTGCAAAGGACAATCTGTTTTGATTTAGATGTATGACACTACTGGAGGCTGCTCCATTTACTGTTCGGAGTACTCCGGATTTTCGGAACACTAATTGAATCGAACCGAAAACGGTCACATGACTGCCCCTGCTCAAAAGTAGGGGCAGCCAGAACAGACATGTGACCGTCAGAACAGTCATGTGATCATTGTTGGTTCGATTTAATTAGTGTTCCGAAAATCCGGAGTACTCCGAACAGTAAATGGAGCAGCCTCCCGTAGTTAATAAGAATTAACCAGTTGTATTTTAAAGTTTTAAAGTTTGTATTATAAAGTTGTATGTAGGTTCAAACAAATAAGAATAACTTTACTAAATGATTTTTTCTGTGTTGGTGTAATGTACTCAGGTGAATATGATGCTTGTGATGTTACTCTGAGTGTATATCCACACCGGGCAAGCTTGAAAAATATGCCTGTCCACGGTGGGAATCGAACCTACGACCTTTGGAATACTAGCCCAATGCTCTGCCAACCGAGCTACGCGGTCAGGTCGTGGACAGGCATATTTTTCAAGCTTGCACGGTGTGGATATACACTCAGAGTAACATCACAAGCATCAATTTTACCAAATGTTTGTAATCTATCTATCTATCTATCTATCTATCTATCTATCTATCTATCTATCTATCTAACCCTCTACTAACTTCCCCACGAAAGGCCTTTGCCCGAAGCGTCGAGGTTCTACTTATATTTTTCAGGTAGTTTATCACTCTCAATCTCTCAGCTGTAAATACAACTAACCAATCAGGAAATTGGCGATTAATTGTCCCTTACTCTCTCAATTTTACAAATATTAAAAAAGGTGCGAGAGCTTTTAATGCTAGTTTCCCTTCAGTCATGTAATTATCTATTAAATATCGGCATTCGAATCGGTGTATAATATAAACAGCGATCTGCATGGTTAAAAACAATTTATTTGGACTATTATTCAAATATACATGTATTACATAAGCTCGGTGCATAATTCACTAAAATATATATATATAGGAACATTATTTGGAATATTATTATGCTAAAATTATACTACGGTTCTCGATACCTCTCCTTTTCTTCTGGTATCATATACTAAAAAATCCCCCAGAGATTTTGTCTCCATTCCGGCCAAATTGCATAACAACTGCCCTCCTCTTCAGAAATTTGCACATTCCCTTATTGATAAAACATCCGCAGTAATATTACATGGCTACAACTACATGATATAGGTACTGATTTTGATGACTAGTAATGCATGCATGCGGTCAAATAAGAATCAAGATGTTTTGAGGTTGTAACGATGGTCGTATGGCGTAAAAATTGCAAGAGAGTCTGTAAAATATATTTACATAATTACAGCCTTATTTCGCTATATTCTTGTTTTCACGAATGTGTAGTAGTACAGATTTAATATAAGCTGAATAAATAGTAATTATAAAATTTGTACATTTGACAAGGAAAACCTCGTGAGCAAATTTGTGAAGAGGCAGGCATATTTGCCAAAAAACGTGGCCAGCGTAGACAATTTTTAATACGGGGGAGATATTCTTTCGTTTTCTAAAAAATAATACAAACAACTCTTAGACATAGCCTTAGTTTAAAAATCAATTAACAGCAGAGTATTAGTGTTTGGAGGTAGGTGTCGTTTGTGGTCGAAGGCTGCAATGTCTTGTTTGCAAGATGTATTGGCATGTCAACAGATTATCATCAGAGCAGCAACAACTAAAGCAGCAACCCCTAAAATAGCAGCAATGGAGTTCGCCATGACAATTCTGCCATGACAATTCTGCCAAGGGATTCCTCCGGCACCTGTCACACTGACGAGTCAGTGAAAAAGATACAATCTATAGTAGTCTATATACATTGTACTTGTTGAACTAACAAAGTTTAACTAAAAAAAAATTGGGTGGAAAAGGGCGAAGGAGTAACAAACGCAACTTGCTGCAACAAGGCAAAGCAAAAACAGGCAATTGATCGGCAGGGCGGCAGAACGGGCGGGCGGCAGAACGGGCGGGCGGGAGAAAACGGACGGGCGGGCGAGAAAAACCGCCTGCCGGTTTTCCATACATGTTTCATTGGCAGTCCACTGTTGGACTGGAAATACGTGATTGGCTAAAAAAATATTAAGTTGTCATCGGTTGTTAATAGAGACCTTACGATTTAGGACGGCAACGCGACGGCAACGGCTATACAAATACAATAAATAATTGAAAAGAATTGAATAATTACAATATATGAATAATTTAGACATTGTCCTTCGCTCTGTTTACAACGCCAAATCACAGATTTTCACGTGATTTCAGATTTTCACATTTCAAGCCGCAACAAGTGCAACTTCAAAAAGGGTTTAGCAGAACTCTTCCCAACCATAAAACCCATGTCTTCAACTTCTAAGACTGTATTAAATTCATACGATTGATAATATACGACGAATTATGTTTACTACCATTTATTTGAAGGAGTTTGTTTTGGCCGTCGCGTTGCCTAAAATCGTTAAAGGTCTCTATTAACGGCGGCGGCGCGATTTTCTTTTCCATTTGCATCATCGGCTGCTTGCAACTATGCGGTAGTTTATCGATTATCAGTGAACAATGATCTTTTAGTCCCTGTTTCCCAGTAAATGTTTGTTGTTTATTATTTGAGACTGCGCTCTGGAGTAGACACAGTCGTTTGTAACCGACTGGTGGTCATCAAAGCACGATGGGTTTTGCCAATACGACAATTGTTATAGGTGTTCCTTCTTTTATGTAGAAATGATAATTACAATTCTACACTAAAATAAAGTAATTTCCCAAGGGCATCTCTTACCCTAACGTTTGGCCATTCGCTGTCGCTCAAATCTCTGCTCCATTTCGTCCAACACTAAACAAATACAAAATACTCAATAATCCAATGTGTATGTCCTGCAGAAAAAATCATTAAATGATATTTACTGGTTTTCCGCGTGGTTGTCGAACTAGATATGAACGAAAAAGGTTATACTGTAGAAGCATCAACTACAATAGCTTGGTTTACGCTGCAAACATGACACAATAAGAATCAGAAATTCTAAAAGTACCAGAACTCTCTTAATTAGAAATTACTACATCCTTCATTTAAAACGTGCTCAACTTAATACTCTTCATAAAAATCCCAACAGGATGTTTAGGAAGTCGACTAATGGAATTCCAATGCTTGTTCCATTTGGTTTAACAGGTTGAAAGTACATAAAGCACTTTTCATGTCAAAGGTAACGTCCTTATTTATACTTACATTTAGGCGTATATTTCACAACCAGCCTAACTTTTCCTGGAATAAAAACGAAGCAATTAGAACAGGTCCCACATAAGTGCAACTCCAAAAATAGAGCATTTTATAACTGTATTTATTACCAACTATATATAAATACCTTCTTTTAACTCTATGAAACTTACTGATCAGACTTACCGGTCACAGACACCCTATAGTTGTCAGTTTGGGAGTCAAATAGACAAATTAAAGATGTACAGAGTAAAACGTTTTACTCCAAAAATAGTCATAGTCAATGTTTTTGTATTACCTTCCGCGGCTTTAAGAAGATCGACAGCTTTCTCATGATTCTCCCCTTCGACGCTCTACGAAACAAGAAAGTTTAAAGATGAAGGATGACGGCCAATCGCGTTTTAAAAGCCGCCTATATTATATCCACCTGCGTGGAATATTTACAATACTATCGTAAGGCTAAGTGTATCCTTGTTTCTTTCAGTGTCAATGCATGATAAGGAAACGAGGAACAATCAAATAAACCTTACCACGCCATTAACGGAAAGCAATTGATCTCCACGTTTTAGAGCACCATGCCTAAATAACATTATTACACATACAATCAAAAACAAATTTCAAATACAGTATAAATACAAATGAGTTTACCGGAAACGGAAAACAGGTGAGTGTAAAACAGTGGGAAACACTTTCAAGTTGTCCCGAATGGAATTATACTCGCAATAGAAGAATGTAAAATTTGTTACTTTCAATTATTTGTAAGGTAATAGACTAATAGTATGGTTTCGAGTGCAATTTGGAAAAAAAACGTTCACGAGTGAGTTTTTCAAGCACGAAACCATACTATTACTTATTAATAATGCACATGAAAAAAATTATACAGAAGCAAATTCATGGCCACTTGCATGCATGAAACACATGCGAAATAATTTACTTACTCATTTGAATGACACAACATTTTTAATCAAATGCCTTTTGGTTTGGCGCTTGTCACGTATTTCTATTTTTGGTACTGTATTTTGATAAAAGTGCACTCCTCTTAGCCAATCGAGAAATTTTTCACGTATATAATTACTGTATATAATTCTCTTAATATTATCACCAGTCGACAAATGTAGCGTCTCTATAAAGAGATTATTGACCTGCATCGCAATAAAAAGTTCATTACTTTGTCCCCCCCCCCTTAAGTTAATAGATAGCCAACCATGTGACTGATATGCTCACATTACGTTGCTTTGCCATGTGCATGATGATCATGTGCACGCACGTAAACAGAAGTGTAAAGTCCGGGGGAGCGCTTGTAAACTGTAAAGTGTCACCGCTTTTGTTTACAGTAAACTCCAGAGGCCAGTTGTTAAAAGGTGGGTTAGCGCTAACCTTCGGTTAAAGTTTAACCCGCTGTTTTAGTTTATGTATTTCTGCACGTCTGATTATTTCAAAACTTCAGAGAAGAAAACTCCTATCGATCCAGACAAGATTTCTGAAGAAACATTTCCAAATTTGTAAACAAGCTGCCAGGAAGTTTGCTTTGGATTTTAGGTTAACCTATAGGGTTAAGGTAATCGGCTTTCGAACAACCGGCCCCAGGCGACAAGGTTTACCCATCTCCTCCCAACACCTTTTGGTTTTGTTGAAATACTAATGATGTGTATTATAGTACAACTGAACTGCTTACTTAGCGTGTACTATATAACATTGAACTGCCTAATTTAGGGTATCAAACAAGGTAACAAGACTGCAAAACGTTTATACAAAACATGTCGAAAAGAAGTATACCTGTCAGCGACTCCCCCAGGAATAATTCGAGATATGTAAATTGGTGATGACTGTTCTTTGCCGCCCATTACGTTAAAACCTAGGCCTTCATCGTTCTAAAATTTGGAAAAGAATCATATACATTTGAACTATAGGTACAAACATCTTACACAATGTTTTTGAATGAACATGTTTGAAATTGTAATTTGTTATCTTCAGTGCAACTGTATAAACATGGCCTCGCTTTGCCAGGATGGGATGAAAGGTAGGATGATTTTGATACGTTGAAATATGATTATCCCTGTTTACAAATCCGGCAAACGGTCCTCTATGGACAATTACAGACCCATATCGATTCTACCTGTTCTATCGAAAGTGTTTGAAAGAGTGGTTCAGAAACAGTTATATGAATACCTAGAGAAGAATTCACTGCTATCTCCAAATCAGTTTGCTTTCAGAAAACACAGATCAACCCAGCATCCTGTAACGTTGCTTTCGGACCATATTCGAGGACACATGGATAAAGGAGAATTAACTGGAGCAGTATATATAGATCTAAGAAAAGCATTTGATACGATAGACCACGGTCGTCTACTCTCGAAACTTCCATGTTATGGAATCAGAGGAAGAGAATTGATCTGGCTTGAAAATTATTTGTTCGGAAGAAAGCAATTTGTTGTGTTTGACTCGGCAACCTCCGAGGGGCACACTGTCCTTACTGGTGTGCCACAAGGATCAGTGCTCGGTCCCCTTCTCTTCGTACTACTTATAAATGATATCGATTTGCAAATGAAAAACTGTCAAATTCTTTTATATGCTGACGCAGTAGTTTACACATCTGACAAGTCATGTGAAGCTATTGAATCAAATTTAAACTCTGAACTTACCAATCTCGCGAGATGGTTCTCTAATAACAAGCTTGTTCTTAATCTTAAGTAAGGAAAAACCGAATTTGTTCTTTTTGGAACGAGTAAGTAACTTCGTAAATCGCCGAAAGTACAAGTAAAGATAAATGAAATACCAATAAGCGAGGCGGAATCATATGAATATTTGGGTGTAGAAATGGACAAGTCGCTTAACTACAACAGTCATACTGACAGGACTATCAAAAAGGCATCTGCGAAAGGTAAACTGCTATCACGTATCCGACAGAATGTCAGTCCATCAGCAAAAGTGTAGAAACTTTTTTATGAAAACTGATTAGTGGATTTTTAAATATTTTTACATAAATGCTGACGCCAAAATTTTTTAGCTAATATATAAGTATAGGATAGACTATCTAATTTAAACAGGTCCTTGAGTGATAGCAGCTAATTTTTTTTAGCTGACCAAGTTTAACCTGTATAAATATGGTATATTATTATTATTATTATTATGTTTAATATTCAGTAATAGTGCAGATTCCGAAGTCATTGAAAGCAAAAGGCAGTTTAAATAACCTGGATAATTTTGTCAAACTATATATAGGATCTGATCAACATAATTTCAGCGCTATATTAATGACCCTTTCCCTTTTCACTTATGCCGATATAGTGACGTATTTCAACACTGTACGTCAAAGTCACCCCACCGCTCATCCCGTCCCGGCAATGTGACCAGCGCTTTTAATGTCTTATTTGTGTACTTGGCTATACTGTATATTTGCTAAATGAAATATAACATAACAGTTATTGCGATTTTGAATATACAGTAATATCAATTTAGTCATTTTACGAGTACTCAATGAAAAAATATTGATCTAATAAATGTCTTACACTAAAAACCGGTCTAAACAAGAAACAAGTCTAAAACAGTTTATATAGTATTAAACAGTTCATACATTTGTTCGATATATAAATATTGTTTTAACACTTCAAATGCATCTTTAAAAAGTTCTAATCTGAGTGATTTATCTGAGCCGAAGGAGTGATTTATCTGAGTGATTTGAGTCGAAATTTTATCAAAACAGAATTTAAATAACGTATGTACAGGCGACCATACGTTACGATTAACATTTCTATAGCCCAAATCTATTACGAAAGTCACCGAACTGTGGAATCGCATAAAAAATTCGTATATCGACCACTCCCACAAACGTCTACGACCGCACCAACATATTTTTGCATGTTTACAATTCTAATTTTAAACAGCCAATCGACGTTTAATTGTAATTGTTACCAAGAACCTGACTGGCTGTTCAAAATTAGAATTGTAAACATGCAAAACTATGTAGGTGCGGTCGTAGACGTTTGTGGAAGTGGCCGATATACGAATTTTTGATGCGATTC